AACGATTGGATCTGAGTGTACTGTGACGTATGTAGTGCGCCCGAGTGAGTCTTTAGCATTTAGCCTAGCCATCTACTTTGCCGCTAACGGAGCTCACGGGGAGTAATGCCACAATCTTTGCCAGCAATTACATTTCCTAAACATTCCTTTTGCTCCGGCTTCATGTTTTTAGAAAGAACCAGTCCAGAATACTTTACTACCGCATTCGCCGCCATTGCCAAATTACAACCTGCCCGTTCGAGCGCAAACTATTGACGTCACCCACAACTAACTACAACACCCGCCTCCAGCACTCGCTGATTGGTCGGATGGAATTCAACCAATTGTAATCGAAAACACAGGGACCAGACCCAAATGTTACATACAGGGAAATGATGATCGACCGGAGTGTACGACTGGCTAAGGCTAGGCTAGGTGCATAAGCAGCAGGCAACCAAAGCCAATAAATGTTGATATAGTCCATAAATGTCATTTAGTTAATAATTAGGTTTGTCTAGTAATAGAACCATAAAATACTGACAGATGACTGGAATGATAGATGGACAGGTGAACTCTGGTCTGCCTGGACACAGCTACCACACAAACCGATCTTTTCACAAGCATCCAGCACAATAGTTGCACATTTAGCTAAAACCTGCCAAGTAACAACATTAAAAATTCAACACAAAAATTAAAAATGCTTCAGCATCTGCTCAGTGGAACCAGCAGCCAGGGTTCTGCGGCAACAATATAATAACTTATTAGTGGCAAACTGGTGGAATGAAAGAACTAAATCAAGAATTCAAGCCATTACAGAGAATAATAACAGTGGCAAAACGCCTTCAGTCCTGTTCCAACCCTGATCCTGATCACAAAAGCTGAATCTGGTGATCATCCCAGGTTTAAAAACATCAAATGTCATATTCAATTTTGTCGTGAAACATGGGGTTGTATCTCAAACTGAGGACTGTAACTGAATGAATCTAGGTTCAACGTGAGACATTTCCCTTTCCATAGCATGGAAGGTCAAAGAAGATAACCAAGTTTTTAAGACTTGTAGGCGTTTCTCTGTGCCTGTCACTGATGTGCGTCTCCTCCTGCGTCTCCTCTGATGAGCGCAGAGCTGCTCGGCTGACGGGTCCCTGTCACAGAGACGGATGACTCCCACTTTGGTTGCTCTGTTTACGTGACAGGCATGTGCCCTTCAAACACTTACCCTTTGGGAAGGAGGGGTAGTGTATCTCCACACAAGAGGGGGTGTGCCATGTAGATCAAGGACTGAGACTCTTGACCCAGGACTGAGGCTGTAGATCCAGGACTGAGATTGTAGACCCAGGACAGAGGCTATAGATTTAGGACTGAGACTGTAGACCCAGGACTGAGACTATAGATTTAGGACTGAGACTGCAGACCCAGGGCTGAGACTATAGACCCAGGACTGAGGCTGTAGATACAGGTCTGAGGCTGTAGACCCAGAACTGAGGCAATAGATCCAGGACTGAGGCTGTAGACCCAGGACTGAGGCTGTAGATCCAGGACTGAGGTTGTAGAAACCAGAACTGAGGCTGTAGATCCAGAACTGAGGCTGTAAACCCAGGAGTGAGGCTGTAGACCCAGGACTGAGACTGCAGACCCAGGACTGAGGCTGTAGATCTTGGACTGACGCTTTAGACGCATAACTGAGCCTATAGATCCAGTACTTAGGCTATAGATCCAGGATAGAGGCTGTAGATCCAGAACTGAGGCTGTAGATCTAGAACTGAGCATGAAGATCTAGGATTGAGGCTGTAGACCCAGGCGGCTCCCTGACAGTTTAGCATGTCTATGGTCAAAATATAGAGGACACTGGGCCTCATTCACGAACCGTACTTAAGAACAAATTTGTGCGTAAATCCTACTTACAAAGATTTTACGAAGAATGTGGCATTCATGAAATGTTCTCGTAACCAGAATTTCTCTTGGGCTCCTGAGCACTCGTACGCACATTCAGTGCCAACATGTTCGCACACTGGTGTTATGAAGTTCAATTAAACACAACATTACAGTGATACGTCCGTCATATTGATGTATGTATTTATTTATTTAATTGTTAATGGTAATTTAGCCTATTTTTTAATTCCTTTTGAAATGAAATGTGCCAACGCTTTATCAAATACATTGGAAATCTTGCCGTGTATTAGTGACCCCTTGCTATTTATAGGGGGCATTTCTTTATCCACAGGCCACAGAACGATGGCATATTTACTGCTGCTGCAGGAGGTTGCAGGGTCTGCGCTGAGTCTCTGCGCTGGTCTCTCCCATGGATCTAGACGAGTCTGCACTGGTCTCTCCATACAGGTCCCTGCTGCATGCTCCTGGATCCATACGGGTCCGCGCTGGTCTCTTCAGTCAGGTCTATGCGGTCTCTCCTAGGTCCGCGCTGGTTTCTGTGTGCTGGTCACTCAGTCTCTCCTCGGGTCTGCATTGGTCTCAGCGCTGGTCCGCGCTGGATCTCCTCCCAGGGTCCAAATTATTTTGAGATTAATCTCAAAACATTTTGAGAGTCATTTTTAAATTGATACATAATATATTTTTAAATTAAGCTCCTAACATTTTTAGATTAATCTCATCCAATTTTTAGATAATTATCATAATTTTGCTAGTTCGACTTTATTTTCATAATATTTCGACTTTTAAGTCAACATTTTATAACTTTATTCTCAGTCTGGCAAAAGAAGAAAAAAGGGTGACTCTTTTGCTCCGTGTAATTCTTTGCTTTAGGCCTGTTGCTGTTTCCTCTGGCGTCTACACAAGGCCCTGCAGTCCTTTTTATGGGCATGAATGGGCGGTTACTTATGCTAAGCACCTATGCTAATGAAGCACCGGGCACGCGCGCTGTACTTACGAGGAGTTGGCATTCATCAATCTAAGAGAACAGCTGCGAACAATTCAGCAGCTTATGAGGGCGTTGATGAATCCCACGGAGGGTCTTCTTAGAAATCTACTTCAGAACGACTTGAGAAGATATTTAAGAAGTTTCTTACAAAGTTATTCGTGAATGAGGCCCATCGTTAGTTACCAATGAAGATACTAGCTCACCATCACAGTCATGATTTTGGATCTGTTTTGGACTATCCAGCTGAGTAGTACAACATCCACATGAAACTCAAACTAACGCAGGGACCACAATGTGTTCTACAAGTTCTGATCAAATTGCTTTCAGAAATTGCACTTAGAATATCACATTATTGTCCTTTACTCCTGGTTTTCTTTTTCCAATCTAGGTCAAAATAGTGTCTGGCTTGGATTATAGTTTTAGTATTGTTTGATATTAGATTCGCGAGGCTTTGAAGCGAACACGGTTTAGGGAATGTAAGTAAACTTTATCTATATAGCACCTCTCACAGTCACAAAGCGCTCTCTAGCTCCACACAGTGATGGGAGCAGGTCATCTACAGGAGTTGCGTGCCGGACCTAATGTATGCATAATCCTTGACATATGTGCTGGAGATAAAAGGAAGGACATGTGTGTAATTCTATAGCACACTTTGAACATGAGAACATTCAAAACAAGAAAGGATACATTAAAACCAATGAATAAACAAGAAAAAGAGATACTTACAGTGCAGTAAGTGCTATACGATCAATGATAAATTATTTATCATATAGGACATTACTCTCCAACCTTTTTTTAGTGCAATGAACCAGTTTAATTTCAGACAGTAAATTCATTAATCTTTTTCTCTTGTCTCTCTCTTTGGTCTCTCTGGTCTCTGTCTGGTTTCTCTCTAATCTCTAGTCTCTTTGGTCTCTCTTTGGTCTCCCTCTTGTCTCTCTCTTTATTCTCGCTGGTCTCTATCTGGTTTCTCTCTCTGGTTTCTCTCTGGTCTCTTTGTGGTCTCTTTTTAGTCTCTCTCACTGGGCTCTCCCTAATTTCTCTGGTCTCTCTCTGGTTTAACTGGTCTTTCTCTGTTTCCTGTTGTCTCTATTGTCTCTCTCTGATTTTTTTCTCTGGTCACTCTCTGTTTTATCCAGTCCCTCTCTGGTCTGTCTTTAGTCAAGTGTTCATGTGAGGCACTTAGCAACTTGTGTTGATATAGTACAGCTACAGAAATTATTGCTTGGGTTTTCAAATTCATACCTGCTCTAACCCAGTATACTCTTTAGTTTTGTGGCTACACCCAGCTAACAGCACTAACAATGCTAACACAGCTCTGCAGCCCTGTCCCAGCTCTGTTCCTCTTGGCTTTGGTAGCTTGTAGTTTTCACATTTCTCTGCATCTATTGATTGACGCGTGGCTTAGATTACACCTATTATGAGCTGGCAGCGCAGGGCCATTATGTGGGCCATGAGAGGCTTTTTTTACACTCGCCTCGTGTTTATCTGACGTCGCCCGGAACTAAATCTGCCCTGTAATCACCGGTAATCCCGACATGTTGATGGCACCCCGTAAAAAACTCAATGATTTAATATGTATTGTTATGGCTTTGATGGTGGCATAAAAGAGCTGTTATCTGTCCACTGGCACCACATCACACTCAACTCAGCTATAGTCAAGCATTGGCCTGGATCTGGTCTGGCTTTGAGCTGGTCTGATCTGGTCTGGCACTGAGCTGCCAGCAACTTTATCCTGTAAACTTGGACGTACAGTAAGAGGCAGATTGAAAACACAAGAGCATCTTTGCACAGAACAACGCATGTGTGATACTGAGAGTAGGATGTGTTCAAATACAGTTATTGACAAATTTACTTGAGCTCCACTGAGACAGCAATGCGGGGGCGGCCAATCCTATTTACCATTGATACATTATTATTTAGAATTTGGCCTTAGCCTTTCATGCGTCAGATTAATGTTAGTTTATACATTGGGAGGGTGTTGATCTAGGCTTGCCCCTCCCCAGGCCGGGTCCCTTCAGGTGGGCATGCGACCTTTGTGCGAAGCCAGCTGGAAAATGTCACAATGGCGTAAACTGTTAGCGATCTCAATTTAGCCTGGCATTTTGTGCACTGCGAGCCAGGGGAGGGAGTGGGGAGAGAGGGGCTAGGAGGAGAGGAGGTGCTGGTGAAGGGAGGAGAGGTATGAGAGAGACGAGGTAAGGAAGAGAGGAGGGAGGAGGTAGGGGAGGGTGGAGCTGGAGAAAGAAGCTGAGGGAAACAGGAACTGTGGGAGAAAGGAGCTAATAGAGAGAGCTAGTGGAGAGAGTGGCAAGGGGAGAATCGAGCTGAGGGACAGAGGAACTAGGGGAGAGGGGCAGGGGGAGAGAGGGATTTGGGTAGGGAAGGGCTGGCAAAGAGAGAAGCTGAGGGAAATAGCTTGGGGGAGGGATGGACTGTGTGAGAGAGGAGCTGGGGAGAGAGAAGCTGGGGAAGAGAGGAGCTTGGGGAGAGAGGAGCTTGGAGAGATAGGGGCTGGGGAGGTAGGGCTGGCAAAGAGGGAAGCTGGGGAAAAGAGGAGCAGGGAGGGAGAGAAGCTGAGGGAAAGATGAGCTAATGGAGAGAGGAGTTGGGGGAGGGTGGGGCTGGTGAAGAGAGAAGTGGAGGGATGAATAGGCTGGGAGAGATAGGAACTTTCTCAAAGTTATAATTTATCGTACTTGATTCACCTGTGATATTGGAGTAATATTAGTATTGGTATAATGTTATGAAATATGGATAAAGTGAAGCCGTCCCCATGAGAAGGCCTCAGTATGTGCTGTTATTGGATTGTCTGTGTATTATAAGTATTTTGCATTCTGTAGTTTGTCTCCAGAGCTGTGTCTGAAGCTTCAGTCAGCTCCACGTTGTCATGGGTTAGAGTTAGGGTTATTGCCATGTCCAGCATGTGCTGTTCTGCGTGTTGATTGGCAGATTCACCTTAGTGGATGTAAAAAGCGGCTCGTTGGATGGGCTTGTGTCATGCATGTCAATGCAGATGATAAGACAGAGGAGCAGGACACCTGGGATAGAGTTGACAGCATTTAAACATAGCCAAACCCGTTTTACTGTTTGATAATGGCTTCCACTGCTTCCCAGATCAGTCGGATGACCAAAGGACTCTTGATGTGTGGATGAGTGGTCTGCATGCGCTGAATACAGTGGCAGCCTGGAGCAGGATCAGTCACCTTGCTTTTCCTCTGGGATGTTTTTGGGAGAGGCATTGCACTGGGCTGTCATCCTGAGAGCCAGGCCATGGATTAGAATTCAAGCAGTGAGGAGGCCGCCCAGAACACCAGCGGAATGCTAAGTGATGGGAGGAGGCAGGGGCCTCAACACAGCAGACAGAGAGACTGGCCCGAGGCATTGTGTTGGGGGCATAGACCTCCTATGTACTGTCTGCCTATGCCTAAGACTCAGGGCTGCTGGTATAGTGTTCACTTATTTTGCAATATGGCTCAGTGTTAAAGGACATACACATATTGTGTAAAAATATCTTTCGTAAGCGTTGGACCTGGGGGGTTTTTCCGCAGTAATGTCAGGAACTTCATTACTGTAAGAAGATGTGACCTCTTACTCATCCACATATGTTCTACTTTGGCAAAGCAAATTTATTTGTAGAGCACCATTCATGCAGAAACAACCCAAGATGCTCAACAGGCACAGAAAAAAACATTGGGAAACAATAAAACATCTTATGAATAAAAACAATAAAATATAAATATACATATAAATACATAAATCTGTAACATACATCTGTAATAGTACTTTTTTTGTTTTTTTTTTAAGACTACAAGTGGATAGCCAGTGTTAATACCTGATTCATAGTTGGTATAGTTCAAGCACACAGTTTCATACACAAACATGAAAAGCCACTGTAAATATTCTCAGTTCTCCTTATTCAGCTTTCAGAGCTCATGCCATAATTGTTACTTAACCAATATGTTTTACCACTAAATCTTCTCATGTTTCACAGTCAGTTTGGCTCAAATGAAAAGATGAGGCTTCTTCCTCATGTTTCGTTGTGTCTGTTGGATCATTGAGGAGATGTGATTTTAGAGCACTACTCCAAATGGTGAAGCGTTTTGCAAGGATCACTGACTCATGAGTGAGAATTCAAAATATGCAAAAAAAATAAAAATAAAAAAAATTCAGAGGTTTAGGTGTGTGTGTCTCTGTGTGTTTGCGTATGTAAGTGTTTATGTATGTCTATGTGTCTGTGTATGTGTATGTGCGTGGCTCTGTGTTTGCGTATGCACTTGTCTGTGTGCGTGTCTGTGCATATGTGTGTGTATGTTTGCAAACTACTCATTTGGCGAGAGAAAAGTAGATCTCAAGATGGATGTGACATATTGTAGTTTGCATGCAGCACAGGGAGCGAGAGACTTCCTGGACTCAACATTGGCTTTGGAGATTTGTCTGTGAGAGAGCTGCACAGGCTTTATTCTGTACAGTCTGCTTACAACAAAAGTTGGCAAAGGTCTTCATCCCGAGTCTGAAGGCTGGAGTGAAAAGGGGTCTGCAACTAGAGGGTCTATGGACTGTGGTGATGATCCAGGACACTCGACATTCAATCACATTTTTGACTTTATCACCATTTATGGACATTGGTCATCTGCCCCTTATGAACATTGGTTCTATGTGTTTTTTTATCATTGCATTTCTTGTATTTGAACTGTTTAATTCTCCGATCTGTGATGGCAAGTCAACGGCTTGTCAATTCCTCCGAGATACCTACAGTTGTGGTTTAGTGCTTTACAAAAATACATTGAATTGAATTGACAGTGTTTTTGGACGGGAGTTTGAACACGGCTTTACAAATATAGATATATTGTCTGTGGCTCCACTGCTCTGATGTTAGATCTCACCATGTGTTGCCTACAGCAGCACCCCTCTCAAAGCTCCAGCACATGTCCCATGATTGTTCCCTGTGTTTGGGGGATTCCCTCCGGCACACACACTAAAGAATGCACCATATGCTTGTTGTGTGGAATTTGCATGTTCTCTCCATGTCTGTGTGTTTGCAGTGTGAGCTGTAAATCCAGAGCTTTGCCTTTCATATCAGCGCCTTCTTTCCTATAACAGCCAGAAACAGCAGCTGCATCCTCAGAGCGGCTTCAGAGCCTGTGTGTGAGGCAGCCTGGTTATGTGCTTCTCCACAGATATTATTCTTTATGTCAATGATTCTGGTCCTATTCATGTTTTCAAGAGTCTTCTTAAACATACATTTGCAAACTTCAAATGATCTGTGAAAGCCTTGTGGATGGCAGAGCACTTGAGTGGAAATTGGTGGAGAATAAGTCATTTCTGAGAAACAAATTAGCCGGGAGCGTCGTAATTATGGGTCTCATAGAGCCGGGTGTCATCACAACTTTGAACCATGTTGTAATTATTTTCCTATATATTAGAGCCTGGATGTTTGAGTCATTTATATTCCCCAAATCCAAGATGCCATGGCTTCTGTTGTAGCTTCTGCTGGAGCTTCTGTTGTAGCGTCCATCTTAACATAAAATAAGATAAAACTTTATTAATCTCACAATGGAGAAATGTACACATCTTGCGTCGGCTTAGGAGCAGAATTCTCATAGAAAGTAATGCATAAAATCCAGGGGGTTTGAGGAAATTTCTACATCTCTGGTCATCTCGCTCCCTATAGACCGATGGCTGCCATGCGTTTGTTATTATTGCATTTCCTGTGTTCGAACTGATTCTCTTATCTGTTGTTGGTGAATCCACAACTGTTTAAGTCTTTTGAGACGTCTGCTGTTGTGATCCAGGGCGATACACAAATCCATTGAACTGAATCAAAAATAAATGAATGGAAGCTTGAAAATCTACAACCTCAGTCTTGAATCTGCAGCCTCAGTCCTGGATATAGAGCGTCAGTCGTGGATCTCTATTTTCAGTCCTAGATCTCTAGCTTCAGTCCTGGATCTCTTGCCTCAGTCCTCGGCTACAAGACAATTGGAGGATACACAGAAAGAGTATGGCAGTGAAACATGTCTAGGTAATAACTCTCACTCTCTTACATTTGTCTGGAGAAGATGAACCACATAACCTTGTCCACCTAGTACTTTGTGTGTTTCTTCACACAAAGTCGTCTCCGCTCTGGCATTACTTAGCCCCAAAGTCCACACCCACACACACACGCACATATTCCAGCACACCTCCCACCTGCACAACTCATGTCTTTTTAATAGACTCTGAGAACAGGCATGAATATATAAAGAGTGCAGTCTGCAATCATGGAATCCTCCTTTCTGGGCCCGCACTTAAGACCAAGGATTGATTGGATCAGAGAGAGGGGAGGTTGTGTAGAGGTCACTTTGAGCCCTGCTCGGTGAATGCGGGAGGAAGACAGAATTCAATTTGGAATATAATACGAGCTGCCATTCAAGATGGGAGGCAGTAACGCAGCAGCACAAAGCAGAGGCAGGTGAAGGGACCCTCACATGAACAAAACATTTAGACCGAGCCAAACGCTGGGAAGAGCAGAGGGAAGAGAGGTGATGAGGGGAGGAGAGGGGGGGTACAGAGAAAACAGTAGGAATATTTGCATAACTGTGAGAATGTTATTTAAAGCTGCAGTACCTCACTTACATTTATTTTTTTTCATGTCCTAACAAATACACTGTTTCCAACATTTCTATTGCGTGCGTTTCTATCATGCTTTAGTATCTGGTACTGTAACTGGGAAATTCCTTGGTTACCATGGCTTCTAATATGGCCTGCTAGAACACTTTAGTACTAGCTCGGCCTGGTTAGACCCATGGCCAAGAGGACCAGTGTAGTAGTGTTGAGTAGAGTAGGGCCAAGTATAGTTAGTGGAAACAGGTTAAACACAGTCTTGTAATCGTAAAGTGTTGTTAACAAAGTAGACACACACACACACGAGCACACACGCACACACACACAGTTCTTATTATGATTGCATAATAGTATATGTTACATGAGTACCTGAGTCTATGACATTTTGTTTTTCATATTTCCTCACACCAAAGCAGCTTCTAAAAGGTGCAGTTGTAGCCACTGAAAGAGAAGCTTCTGAGTCATGATTCAGGCAGATGTAGTTACTGGTAACAGGGGAGATGTGTCAGACGGAGGAGGAGTGGTGCAAAGCTTTTAGTGAGATGACCTCTGACAAACGCAGGATGTGAAAGCGATGGTATAAGTGTGTACAAGTGCAACGGAAGACAGTCACTCTGTGCAACTCAATTGGAAATCACGCACTGAGGATCTGTGTCGTAGTTCTGCGGTGGAAATAAGTGCAATTCGTGATTTAGCTGAAGTCATACAGTACTGTGCAAAACTGTGTCATGTTCAAACGCTGTATAGCGCGCCGTCGGATTATGGTAATTATCAGTTTGTCTTACTCCTGGTGTTTGTGTGTTTACTGTATTCCTTAAGCTTCTCTCCTCCTGTTTTACATGGAGCAAATCCAAACCATGAAAATAAAAAAAGATGGTTCTTCACTTTGAAAGAGACTCGCATAGCCTGGGGTGCTGTGGGGCTATTTTGATTTGCGCCCCCAAGTTATCAGCGAAGAACGTACACACCACACGCAGACGCGCTAGGTAGATGAGCGCAGTGGGGCACACCGAAAGTTGGAGCATCGCGTATTTATGTCCGCATAGTGACGTGGCTCCCAGTCAAAACGTGCGTCAAAACGACCTGTGCGGTGTGCACAGGTCATTATTCATTCACTCCAAACACAGTGGTGATAAACGACTACTCGGGCCACAGCAGTCCGAACAGAAGTACCAACCAGTATGTGCCATTGGTCCCTCCCAACACCACCAAGTGTCTTGCCTAAGAACACACCAACTGTTTGACACTTCACAGCCTCAGCAGCCCCATTGTGGCCCCTGGTATTCCCATAGATCTATAATGGTTCAGTAATTATCTTTAGAAAGTACAAAAAAACTGATTTTGACTTTCATTCATGGCATATTCTGAGGATTTGTGACAAGTTTTAAAATATTTTGACAGAAGAGGGGTGACATGTTTGAACCAGATGTTTTTGTATCAGCATGGACGGAGATAAAAACCATTCCAGGTGGTGACGTAACACGTTCAGGTCATAATTAATAGTTTAATGTTTGTCTGATGTTTCCCCTTCGGTTCCACTCCCCTCCATGGCAAGTCTGAGCAGCTTCACCATGGCAGGTCAGAGCAGCCTCCCCATGGCAGGTCTGAGCAGCCTCCCCCTGCAGGTTTGAGCAGCCTCACTATCCCAGGTCTGAGCCGCCTCCTTGTTTTTGAGTGGGCTATTCCAGATATTGCTTTATTGCGGCTGACAAGAAGCTTCCGATAGCAGGCTGTACACGTGGGCGAGGATATTGTATTTTTAAAGCTAATATGAAATCTCGACTTGTGCTGTCAGGGTAACAAATGGCAGCCCATAAAACAGCATGTAGTCAGGAGTCTGTTCTGTTCGGCGAGCGCATTTGAATAGATCCCTCTGCCTCGGAGCGGCAGCTGTATTTCACTCATGTTCCGCTGCAAAACCAGGGAATGTTCACATTCGACTGGTGGAGCAGGACTTTGCCTTCTTACAGGACACATGTTCTGCTGAATCCCCCTTTTGGTTTTGTAACCCCATTGTTCTGCCTTTTAAAACAAAAGTATTAGTTTGGGGATGTCTCCTGTCTGTCTGTGTTTTCACAATTCAAATCTATCTAATTCAATTCAATGTATTTATGTAACGCCCTAAATCACAACAGCAGTCACCTCGGATGACAAAGTAGTGGATTCCTCAACAACAGATCAAACACAAGCAATGCAATAGTAGCAAACACATAGGCCATTGATCCATAGAGGTGGAATGCCCATTGTCCAGAAATGTTAATAAATGTGCGGAAATGTCCCAGATCATCGCTGTCCTTAGACCCTCCTGCGTCAGAGAGGAACCACTCAGAAACCCAGGACTGACACAAGCAGTGGATGTATTTGCTGCTTCATTAGAAGATGACAAGTACTGACAAGTCTTGGTAGTGCTGCTGCCGACGAGCGCAGCACTTTGATTTGCTGATTGAGCGGTCTGTCAGAGTGTGGTGGACATGGATACTGCTGCTGGAGTCGGTCCCCAGGAGGTGGAGGATGCTGTCTTGTGTCGCTGTGACAACTGATGGGGTTTAGCGCCTGACGGATGGCTTTGTAGAACACAGGCATCGACGTCTGCAGTCACTCGGACATCAGTGGCATTTGAAGTCTGTGCTATGTCTCAATTATGCACTCAGAATGTAACTGATGTTTGCAAATGCCGGGATCCAACCGGAGAACGCATTATGCAAACATGACTTTTACAGCTCTTTCAAAATGTATCACTCATTCAAGAGATTTACTGGTTTACTGCAGGTGACATCAGGCATGCATTCATGCCCCTGAAGGAAAATATCATCTGCAATGACCCAGAGACTGCCTCATGCTGTGGTGCATGATTTTGGTCATTGGGGAAACCAGAACATCCAGAGGAAACCCATCCAGACACAGGTAGAAACATGGAAAATCCAGAGTAGTTTAGGAATATTATATATAAATAATCAATTGTTCCTGATTGTTTCCTGTGTTCCAATTGTTTAATCTGTTGTTGGTGAATACACAACTTGGTCCTCCGAGATAACAGATGCTGTGATTTATGGCGATACACAAATACATTGAATTAAATAATCCACGTCTAACCATGTTCCCCAAGTTTTATCTTCAGTTCCTGAAATAGATGCTTCCTCTCACTCCTTCTGCTGGCCCCGTTGGACGTAAAGCAGCAACGACTCTACACCGAGCTCTTCTGTGGTGTAAATCACTGTGTTGTCATACTGTAGAGGCACTCTGTTATCTCCTTGTTTTGTCTCGGCTTCTGATTAGCGATTTGAGCCATGGTGCCAAGACTCCATCCTTTAATAACTGCTCTGGAGGTAGTAGCTAACCAGTGCTAATCTCTCACACACTTCCTGGGGAACGCCTCAGTCGTGGAGACCGCTCTTCATGCCTTCCATTAAGATTTAGTCAGAGTGCTCTTTATTTAGCTGGCACTTTTAGAGGCAGCAGTCCGTGTGATAGATTAGTTTTTACCATCCGCGCAGACAAGATAGAGTGCGCCAATTAACTGAGCTTTTGACAAATGGACCTGAAATGGAAGTTCAGTAAGAAGTGAGCTTTTGGGACGTTTAATATATGATGTTTATAATGATGTACGACAGCAGGGATCGCAGAAGAATCAGACGAGTTCATCGTCTTTTAGCAACAGTGTTTTCTCTAACGCATGTGCACATGACTGAGTGTTTTCACGGACATAAAAATGTGACCAGTTACACGACTGGTTTGACCAAAACATGGTTTGCTTGGTTGGAGTGAAATCAATCTCCACATAAGCCCTTTCTGGAATCAGTTGGACACTCCTGCTCAAGCATCCATGGTCTTCCCTTGGTCTCCTCCCAAACAGATGCCTACCTCGCTGACGTCTCTACTTTCTGCGGAAAATAGGGAATTTACACATAACTCTAAGATCTTTCTGAACTTTTACCACTGCACCATAGAAAGCCTGCATACTGGTGCGACACAGCCAAAGAAAAGAAAGCTCTGAGCAAAGTGGTTCGTTCTGTTCAGAGGACTGTGAACTGTGAGATGCCCGTTCTGGAGGCCCTTGATGAGAGCAGACTTTTATACCGAGCCCCGATAATTTATAAATGACTCCTCTGGCCATCCTGGAGTGGCCTTGTTCCAGCCTCTTCCCTCGGGGAGAAGATCCCAGTCCCTGCAGTGCAGGACCACCCACCATGAAAAGCTTCTTCCCTCAGGCTGAAGACTGAACAGAGCGCCCTAATATCTGCTTTTTTTGAAGCTCCTTTTTTGTTTCTTAATCATGTTTTTAAGAGTTTGATATGTGCTTCACCCACTGTTTGTGAGTGTGTGCTTTGTGCTGTTGGTGCCCCCCGGTGTATTCTGTTTGTTTTCTAATGTAGTGTATTCTGCAAATGGCAAAAAATTGATTGTGATTCTGTCCCACAAAAAAATAACTATTAAATCCCTCTCCTTTCATTATTGCTTCTGTAGGATTGTGATTTCAGCTACGTGTCCATGTGACTGCAATGTCCACAGTAATGTAGTCATATAAACTCACCTGCATATTGTATTATTGCAGTGAAAAATGTTTATTGTCAGCTCCTTTCATAGCAATATTATTGTTTACTGTCCCATCTCTGGTGTGAGCAGGGCTCAATGTTCCACGACACAAATCTTGGTGGAATGAAAAGCTTGTTTGCGGTCGGTAAAAGCGGAATGACTTGTCGAGCAGGAGAATTGTAGCTGCACAAATGTGACTGTGTGCTGCTCCAGTGAGTCAGAGGAGCAGGGAGAACACAGACACAACAGCTCGTCATCACTGCTGCAGATGTACCTGTGGATGTGGCCAGTCCTGTGTCCTGTGTGAGGTAATTCTAAAGATGTTATTCAGTTCAGTTAAATTTTTTATCGTATAGGCCTAAATCACAACAGTAGTTATCTCAGAGGACTGTAAAAAACCGTCAAATTTGCCAACACAGTGAATCAAACAGTTCAAACACAGCCACTGGTCTGTAAAGGGGCAGATGACCAATGTCAGAATCAGAATCAGAATAATTTTTATTGCCACGTAAGTAACAGGAGGTCACAGACTAGGAAATTGCTTTGGCTCAGTGCAACAGTCAGAAAGAGATAATAAAAATAAGAATTAAAAACACTTCTAAAGAATACATTTAAATTTAAAATAGAGTTACAGTTACTATTTACAATATACAAGTGCACATGGTGCACGCAATGTAAGGTGACAGCAGTACAGTGAAGTAAAGTGACGTATGATGGGCAGTAAAGTGACTTTATAAAGGGCGGGGGGACAGGTTAAGAAGTGTTCAAGAGTCCAACAGCAGAGGGGAAGAAACTGTTCTTGTGGCGGGAGGTTCTAGTCCTGATGGACCGCAGCCTCCTGCCTGAGGGGAGTGGTTGGAATAGTCCATGTGCAGGTGAGAGGGGTCGGCTGTGATACGACCAGCCCGGCCTCGAGCTCGGGCGACATACAGGTCCTGCAGCGATGGGAGGCTGCGGCCAATCACTTCCTCTGCAGAGCGCACAATGCGCTGTAGTCTCTGTTTGTCCCTGACTGTGGCTCCAGCGAACCACACGGTGATGGAGGAGGTGAGGCTGGACTCGATGATGGCCGTGTAGAACTGCACCAACATCTGTGCAGGCAGCTTGGCTTTCCTGAGCTGCCGCAGGAAGTACATCCTCTGCAGGGCCTTCTTGATGAGGGAGCTGATGGTCGGCTCCCACTTGAGGTCCTGGGTGATGGTGGTGCCCAGGAAACGGAAGGACACCACAGAGGTGATGGGGGAGTCCATCACGGAGGGTGGGTGCGGGGGGACAGTGCTCTTCCTGAAGTCCACAATCATCTCCACTGTCTTCTGGGCGTTCAGCTCCAGGTTGTTACCACTGCACCAGGACACCAGCCGGTCCACCTCAATATCCATAAGTGTTGTTAAATGTCCATGCATGTTGTTTAATGTATAGTGTCCTGGATCATCACCACTGTCCTTAGACGCTCTTGCGGCTCAGCAAGGAATAAATAATAAAAACTAAAATATTGTATCCAAATTAGTGTTTTGAATGTATCCACAATAACAATGGTCAGAAGACATGAAAAGTCGGTTGAAAACAAACACATGAGGAAGGTTATATCGATGTTACATGTAATTTCAAATCAATGCCTATTTCATCCATCCATCTTCTTCCCCTTCATCCATTTCTGGGTCAGGGGGTGGCAGTTAGAGCTAACACCCAATTCACAGAGCACCAGCCCCTCACTGAACCTTCTGCAAATGATGAGTTCGGGTGCCTGCTCTATCGGTGATGTCACAGCCTTGGTTTTTCCAATGCGTTTTGTACAGCCCTAAATCACAAAAGCTGCTGCCTTGGAGTGCCAAATTATAAAATCAAACAGTCAATGTTCCATGAAGACAAACAGATGACCACTGTTCTCAGGATTTCTCGTTTTAATTTTTGTGTCTGAAAAAGCGGATCTAATGAAGTGACAGAGGCCAAAAATACATGGTGCGGAAACTAGTGATAGAAGCAAACTGGATGATCAATGTGTTTGTTTTGTTTGAATGGATGGATGTGTTTTTGCTGCTACTGAACACCTGAATTTCTCCTACGGGGATCAATAAAGTATTTATCTATCAATCTAGCTAACTGTTTTAGAGGCAGGAACTAGAGACCTGGATTTCATGACTTGGTTTATTATGGGATCAAATGGTCGTGGGTTCAATCCATAGATAACGTCTTGTTAATATTAACAGACATATTGATGCCTATCTCCACCATTGAAACTTATGTGTGATTACTTTTCCCTCCTGCCGACCTTTTCAAAATGGCCGTAAGTTGTCCCTTCCCCAGGGAAATAATGAAAAATAACTTTCTGTGCTGAGGCTGTGTCATGTGCATGTGCGTTAGCCTGCATGAGCCTATTCATTTAACACTTTCTTTTAAAAGTCCACAGTGGCTAAACTGGGCTGGTCCAAATGCAAAATACTACCCTTAGCATTGACATGCATCTTAGCCTTGAGCCAATAAGAGTGGGCCTATGACGATCTGGTGGCAGCCTCAAAATCTACCCCTGTGACCCAGATATTGACTAATAAAGGAGATGAAAGTGAATTAGTTGTTATCTTGTGGTTTAGATTGTAATCTTGGGTACTCCAGCTTAAAACACATAACAAAATGCCCCAGAGCATCGCCTGTATGAGTCCCTCTTTATTCAGCAGGAAAAACCCACCACCTGCCGGAGGATCATCAAGGGACCGGTGCATTAGGTTTCAGCTTAGGTTGTCACACCCCCGACCCAGAAATTGATTAATAAAGGGGAATGAATGAATGAATGAAAGGGAGGGAATGAATCTCTGAGGACTTTACAAAACCATAGAATTGCCAACACAAATCAGAGAAGCAAACAGTTCAAAATTGCAATGATAAAAAACACATACAGCCATTGGTTCGTAAGGGGTGGATGATCAATGTCCATAAATGTGGTTGAATGTCAAGTGCCCTGGATCGTCACCACTGTTCTTAGACTCTCCTGCATCGGCAAGGGAGAAAATGAAAAACCTGTCCATGAGAGCTATGGCTGAAATATAGCTAACTCC